CCGGGAGCCAGCAGGCAGAAAGCTAGCCAGCCCGAAGGCTGGCGCTCCCCGCCCACAGCTCCCTGTGCGCCGGAAGCATCCTTCCAGGGAACCGGAAGCCAGACTGGTCTTAAACTCACTATATAGCCCAGGCTGGCCTAGAACTCATAGCAATCCTCCTGCCTCAGCCTCTTGAGTTTTGGGATTACAAGTGTACACCATCACACTTGGAAGGCCAAAAAAAGCTGGAAGTGTTTGCCACAGAGACTTTGGGACACTTCCTCCCAGGCTGGAGGGGCCTCTGTAGAGGGTCACTGTCCCCCGATCTCAGCACAGCTACCACTTGGGCCTGTGAATGCAGTGCTGCAGGGGTGGTGTAGCAGCTCCTCTGACCTCTACCCTCTAGATACCAATAGCTACCCTTACCCCAGCTGGGGCAACCAGAAATGTCCCCAAGTATTGCCAAGTGTCACTTCTGTTCCCCTCAAAAAACTTCAAACCACTGGTTGGCAGCAGTTGAAGAACACTGGCCTGGCCCTGGCCCTGGCCCAGGTGCTGCCTGCTCTGAAGAGACGCCAACCTCCCCTCCGGCGAGCTTTCCAGGAGGGGTGCGTGCTTTTTTTTCTTCACTGGAAGTTCCTGACATTTAGCCCAGAGATAAGTGCTTTGGCTTCCAGGAAGTAATGATGACAACAATGTCATTAGTTTCAAAGGTGGAATACTTTAAGGTCAATGATTCAAAACTTTAACAGGGTATTTCACAAAGAGAGGCAAGACAAGCCACGCCATGACTTTACAGTGCTTGTATGTGAGCCATGGGTGTGAGCCTAGAATCAGCTCAGGTCACTCAGCCGAGTGGGGTCCACGCCAGTCTGCCCATCTCGGCACCAGCAGTAGGTTTCTGCTTTCTTGTGAGCTCATCAATGGTCAGATTAACTAGTAAGGTGAAGTGGACTCAAGGGATGTGTAAGAATTTGATCATGACTGGATTTTCCCATTTCCTCTTGGAAAAGGGAAATATTTCTTATAAAAAATTAAGACAATATTCTATGAATAATTATTTTTGTTAAATATAGAGGCCAAATGTTGCCACCATTTGAAAATTACAAGCTTATGTTCGCCCTGAGAACAAACAAGCTAACTGAAAACTGGCCTGCTGTGTACAATTACTACTATATTAAAAACAACTTTACTTTTTAAAACTTTATTAATTTACCACCTGATCAAAGCATGGGATATTTTAACAGTATTGTACATATTATTTTTACATAGAAAACTTTACATAGCATTTCATATTATATAATTCTGCTTTATTCTTTCAAAAATGTATACATCCACTGGGCAAGGAATGCGTTTCATTAAATTACCAATATTAAATGCACTTAATCATTGTGTATAGATTAAATCAAAGTAGCTAGTAACTAATTTTTAGGCATTTTAAGGAGGTAAAACATACATTTTGCACATAAAGAAGTATTTGATGCAAATATGCAGATAAAAAATTTCAAATTAGAATACTGAAAGAAACTACATCTTTGATGAGTGTCATTTCCAGATACAGTCATTCTTTAAAATATTCAGCTTTGGTTTCTTTGTTTCCCAAACTGCAAAGCTGCTGGTAGCAAAACTCCAGGATTTCACGTGAGTTCAAGCTGTGCCTACCTTAACACAAATATTGCAACAGAATTTGTTAAGGATCCAGCTTCTACTGAAACCAACATCCATATGCATCCTAGCAACAAACATGTGAACAAGACAGTCACATCTGCACTTGTTGGCAGGTCCTGTTAGTAACTGTAAAGATTACTGATGGTGTAGCCATAATCACAAAAGAACAACAACAAAAAAATACAGGGTTTTTTTTTTTTTTGCATTTTGTACAAAACACCTGTTAGAGGAAAATGCTGTGTTTTCAGATATTACACGATTTTTATAATGCATGTTCTTTGGTTGTACATAAAGAGCACAAGGAAAAGGTGTATTTGACTCTAAAGGTGCATGTTAGAAATAAGATTTCCCATGTTTGTTGTTAAGATGCCAAAGCTGGTGATTTCCCTCACAGAGAGTGAAGAAAAATAAAATTGCTCAAAGCAGCAGTATTGTAACAAAAACTTCTAGAGACCCAGTGCATACGATCAACACTGAAAGCATTTTGAGACAGAAACAAGGCCTTGGCAAACGCTGCGTGCCCCTCCCTTTGTTACTTGTAAGGTAGCATCCGGGCCCAGTGCTGCAGAGCTGCACACACCCTTTCCACTAGTGTTTGAGGGGCTTAAGCCGCATTTACCACGAGAAACAGATTTATTCACAAGAAAAGGACTTAGCCTGAATGGCTTCTTACTGGAGGTCAGGGATTTCCTGTTTCCCACTGTCCACTGACAAGAAAAATTAGCCTGAACGGTTTTAAATCCAGTTTTGTTTTGTTTTGTTTTTTAGACAACGTTTCACTATGTAGTTCAAGCTGCCTTGAACTCACTATGTAGCCCAGGCCGGCACTGAACTCCCAGTGATTCTCCTGCCTCTGCCACCCAAGTATACATCCAGTTGTTGTTGTTTTTTCTTTTTTTTTTTTTTTTTTTTTTTGCTTTAAATTAAAATGCTTCATTCAGAAAATTAAATCTTTTAAAAGACAAAGTTAAAAAGAAATTCAAGCCTGACTGTTTCAGCAAGCAATAAAATGCACTGACACACTTCCTACCTCACAATAGGCAAAAATGAGAAGGCAGGAGGACACTGGAAAGTTTTGATGAGCAGGGCTACATGAGAACCTCAGAAGGAAAGGAAAAATCACCAACCCAGAGTGTGGCTGCATGCAAGATGCACTCAATGAACCAACATGCCTGCTCCCCTTAAACCTGTGGTAAAAAGGTTGCAGTGAGGACGACAGGCTTGTTGGGGCGATGACAGAAGACAGTACCAGGGCAGGTCTTAGGTGTAGGTTTCAGGGTGCAGCATAAGGATGTAACGGATTCCAGGACAAGTAAATCAAATGTCCTTACGTTCCATTCATGGTAAAACATTCTTCCAGGGTCCTTTCCTGCTAAATTACATAGTTCCCCTTATCTAATGTTTTAAATAAAGTAAAAATCTAAACCTGATTTTTTTTCTTTGGTAGAGAAATCAGAATACTTTTTGGGCAAGAAAAGAAGTAGATAAGAGTACTGCTGGCCAAAACTAAACATTTCTCAAGGCTGTTAACAACAATTACAACAAAAAAACTTCAGAAATCAGTCTCTCAGTAATAAGCAAAAGCACCAGAAATCCTTCTCCAGAAAGAAAAAATATCTGATTTTACAGATAGATTCCCAAACTACTGGCTTCTAAGGCACCAGAGTTGACATCAATACAACCCAATTGACGTGACTAGAGTGTAGGTAGAAGTTTGAATGTTTTCGTCACTCTGTGACACTTTTTTAACACTTAGTGCTGCCCTAGCTGAGCAGTGAATGAGGGCCGAGAATGAAGTGTGTGTTCTCTTTTTCATGGACTCAGTAAATTAGGCTTCCAAATATACTGCTGTACTCATATACTGCCCGCTTTGACATGAGCTGCATGAGAATGCCTCTACTGTAGTTCAGAGTATTGCACTTTCAGAAACATCATAAGGACCCCAGGGTCTAATCTTGACAAAGAATTGAGCTCCTCGGTTCAAATAACAGAAGTGCTAAGCACCTGCCACCTCCTGCCACTGTCACAGTTCAGCTGTGCTGGCCCCATGGCAGCTCTAGTTCTATCATGATACTTGGTGAGGTGACCTTGGGAGCAACACTTATGAAATTACTGTCCCTCCCTCTGGAGGTCCCTTTAGTAGGGACTGTGCAAAGCAGCGACACTATCAGTACACTCATTCTTCTGAGGTAAAAATAAAATGGTTTACTCAAAGATAAATGGACTCTGGGTAATAACTACTTCATTTTCATTACTACTTCATATAGTAGATCTCAGAGTGTGAGATGGATAATGTATTCTGGAAATTTTAATTGAACACCCATTCACAAATACTTCAAGGAAGGCTAATCTTCTTCATGAAATTGTTTACATTTTCCTATAGACTTTTTCTCCCCAAGTTACTAAAACAGGGAGCGCCATGAGGCACTACGTTTTTTTTTAACCTTGCAAGCTCTTAATTCTAACTTAATTACTAAATTCTGCCTTCAATTAAATCTTCAATAATATCTTTTCATAAAATACTTTTTAAAAACCACTCAGACATTAATAAAACAAAAACATAAAAAACAATCTTTCTTTTCCCTATCTTTCTCCAAACTAATCTAACTATGGCTGACTCGTAACTGACAAAAACACTCAAATTTCTTCAACACACTCAAACAACAACAAATACCCGGCATATTTTAGGTGGCAGCCGTCAACAAGAAATTTTATTAACATACTCTCTAATAATCATGAACTTATACAGCTATGTTCAGTATTTTCAAGGAGAGTAACTTCCTCTGACAAAACATTTACAGCCAGTCACGAGACTTGCTAGGAAATGATGGCATTTGCAATGACAGAATGGACAGTTTAATCAATAAAATGGAATGACAGGTGAAACATTCCCCACCTACTATATTAACTGGGTATGCAACAGTTTAATAAAATACCACAAGCCTTAGTCATTGGGACCTTTCATGGGGCCAGCACAAAGGCTGACCTTATCTAGGACATTCTGAGATCCAAGGTGGCAGCTCTTTGCTTCTGTGTGACCCTTCAAGAGACAGGGCAGTCAGAAATGGCATGGTGAATGTTCTGCGGAGCTGCAGCAGTGGCCTTCAGGGCTACTACACCGGTGACAGTGTTGCTGGTACCTGCGCTGGCTCTTCTGGAATCCATATCTTATACACAACACCTATCCGTAAGAAGAACTTCCGCAGAACTGCTCGGAGCTCAGGGATCAGGTCGAACTGCATAATTTCACACAAGTAGGGGTAGTACATTGAGGCGTGCGCTTTGAACTTGAGGTAGGAGAGAAATAGAAAGATACAATTAGACATGGAACTATATTTTTTTGCACCAGTTTTTCAAAAGTATTCATCTTACCTTCAAACTTCTCACACAATGCTGGTACTTTTTCTTACTATTAGAAACTTGTTACCAAAAAACTTCCACATAAAACCTATTGCAATTACATTTAATTTCTTTGAATTATATTAGGATAGTCAATAGTTCTCTCATTTTGTAAAGCAAGTTCTAGGTCTAAACCAGCACTCGACAATCTCAACCCTCTCTTCCCACACTGAAAATCACCGGTTGTTCTCAAGAGCCATACACACGGCTTCTACTTCAGCCTCAACTAGTGTTCTTCCAGAGAAAAAGACCTACTAGCCAAAGGCACCTGTTGTTTATAATGAATTAACTTCTCTCCAGTGCATCTAGAATGTGCTAGTTATTTGACCATCCTTGAGAAAATCCAAAACCAGTTGCTTCAAACGTTGAGTGAAAGGCACTCAAACTTCACGTCCCAGCGGAAACATCACAGGTTACTTGTTCATACCTTTTCATCATTTATTTTGAGGGTTTTGGTTAAAAGTAACAACAGGAGACTTGTCCAGGCCTCCCGATGGCTTTCAGAATTCACTGTGATGAAATAGGCAAGAGCTTCACTGCACACACTGCAATTAAGAGAGGGGCATGTCACATGGATTAGCATTTCATATTCAGTGGGGGAACTGATCGTTTTTTCCTTTTTTCTTTTTATGACAGGATCTTGCTAGGTAGCTCAGGTTGGCCTTGAACTCACTATGCAGCACCAAGTGGCCTTGAACCTGTGATCTTCCTGACTCAGTTTTCCAGAGTACTGAGATTATGGGTGTGTGCCCTCATGCCCGGTTCAGGTACTACTGATTCTTGCAATGACTATGTGCTGAGTACCTAGCCTGGCTGTGCTATCTTGAGCAAATCACTGAGCCCTCGTCTCTTCAGCTATATGGGGATAAATAACTACCAAACTCAGGGAGTTGCTGTGGAGAGTCAATGAAATAAATGTATCTTAGCTTAGCCTTAACACACGGCTCAGGCTAGACTCAATATAGGTAGCACAATAAATACAAAGAGAATTTATTATTCATAGTTAATTATACAATTATTTCCTCACAGTCACAAACAACTGCTTTTTTCTTTCTGTCATTAGACAGAATCTCACTGTATAGCCCAGGCTGCCCCTAAACCTGGAGTCCTCCTGCATCAGCCTTCCAAGTGCTAAGATTACAAATATACATTATTATGCCTCACAACAAAAGTTCTTTTTTAGTGTCTGTAAATATTCCATCATAGGATATTCCACAGTTATCCAAGCCACAGTTAAACTGTTCAAATTTTTTTCTCTTTATAAGTTAAATCTGCAATGAGTATTCTGTCTGCAAATCCTGGTTTATCGTTCTAAAATATATTCGATTTCATAACAGTGGAATTTACTGGGTCATGAAAAGTGAACATTTCAGGGCTCCTGGCAGGTAATTCTACCTGCTTTCCAGAAAGATCATGTCATTGTACACTCCTACCAGTCATGCAGAATTATGGGCCTTACTACCTTGGTGCCAAGGAGTAAAAGGAGGTGGCTAGCATGCCCAAGGACTTAGGTTCATTGAACTAAAAAAAAAAAAAGACTCAGATATTGTCATCAGTATTTGTGTGTGTGTGTGTGTGTGTGTTACTAGAGATTGAAACAATTTAGCTTCACACTAAGCTATATCTGTACTGCTTTTTTTTTTTTTAATTTTGAGAGATGGTCTCAGTAAGTCACTAAGTTGCTGAGGCTGGGCTCGAATTTGTGATCCTCTTGCCTCAGCCTCCCAAGTAACTGGGAATACAGGCAGATGTCACCATTTTACTGATGTCCAGGAGGTGGGTGGCAAAGATCTACTTTTCACTGTGGGCCTTTCTTGCTAGCATCCCACTGTCTCCCCATGGACACATTTCCAAACACCTGACTTGGGCACACCCTGGAATCCATGTGATTCTAATTCATTCTTCTGGGAAAGAAAGGGTGATGGGATGTCAGAGGTAACAGCAATGTTAAAAAGGACCTGGTTCCAAGGGGGATGGTGCTACAGGGCTGCACATCTCATTACAGCCCAAGGACTCTGGGGTCAGAGTACTTTTCACTACCCAGGTTTCTGTGCCTGTGGGACTCAGAAGTGACATGAGCAAGGCCCTGCATTCCCTCTTCAAAGCACTAAGAACAGTGAAATGGCCAGTTGTGGTGGCACCTGCTGTAATCCTAGTGTTCAGGAAGTTGAGGCAGGAGGGTCACAAGTTTGAACCTCGCCTTGACAACTTAGTGAAGCCCAGTTTTAAAAGAAAAGGACAGGAACTGGGGGAAGGAAGGTGTAGCTCAGTGTAACGACCTTGGGTCCAATCCCCAGCACCAGGGCCGGGGATATAGCTCAGTGGGATAAGCGCCTGCCTGGCAAGTGCAAGGTCCTGAGTTCAATTCCTGGTACCAAAAAAAAAAATCTCCAGCACTGCAAAACAGAACAGTGAAATGCAGGCAGCACCACACGGAAGGAAGACACCTACAGAGGGGTCAGTGTGGAGGTAATTTTCTCCTACTCTTTTCAATTTACAGTATTGTTGTGATATGTCTTGTATATGACAGATAGGACACTTGATGGGAAGCTGATCTTACGTTAAAAGTCGCTGCTGTATTTCATCCCAGGAATCCCTGCGATTCTCATCAACATACATTCGAAACAGGATCCTCAAACAGCAGGCCAGGCTGCTGGTTTCTTGTTTGAGAAGGTTGGGTTTAGACTTGCCCTTAAAACCTGGGGATCAGAAAGTCAGTAAGTACAGCACAGGGTCAAGAGCATACTGAGAAATGGTGAGGTAATTAGTCATGTAGTTCAGGAAGCACTGAACCATCTCATAGCTTTAACAAGCTCAACTGTGATACTACACGGAGACAGTCTCGACTCTGGATGTCATTCTCTGTACTGACACCCTGACTGCCAGCCAGACCTGCCTGCTGACCAGTAAACCCATTAGCTGCATCTTCTCAAATGTAACAGCTCCTAAGAATTCTAGCATTTTTGGTCATTTTGAGACAGGGTCTCACTATGCAGTTCAGGCTGGCCTTGAACTCACTTTGTAGCCCAGGCTGGCTTCGAGCTCACAGCAATCCTTCTGTCTCAGCCTCCTGAGTGCTGGGATTACAGGTGTGCGCCACCATGCCTGGTTCTAGCATTTTTCTAAGTTACAATTTTTTCCCAAAAAAGTAAATATAAAAATGCAGTTTTTAAAGCAAAACAGTTCTCACCAGCCAAATAATGTGCAAACTGCTCTCATAAACAAAACTCTGTTATAGGCAAAGACATAAAACATCTGGGTATTTTAAAGCCACAGAGAAAAATGACAGTCCTTCATCAGAGATTGAAACAGGCACTTGGGGAAAAGATTAAAATAATGATAAGATAATGATAAAACTACAAATGTTATTTAAAGTACTTTAAATAATAATATTATTTGAACTTTTGTGCAAAGTTCAAATAATAAGATCTCACCACCACATCTGGAAAAAAATATATGTATTTACTCCAAGAATTATGTGTTTCTTTATTTTTAGGGGCAGGAATGGAGGAGAACATGTAAAGCCTCAGATAAATGTATGACTGCTTCTGTTTCTTGAGACTATTACACTTTTTATATCACCATTTTTGTTGTTGTTTTGTTCTTTTGAGACAAGGTCTCCCTATTAGTTCAGGCTGGTATTGAGCTATAGAGCCCAGGCTGGCCTCAAACTCTTGATGATCCAACTGCCTTCTCCTTCCAAGTGCTGGGTTGAGGTGTTTGCCACAACGGCTGGCTTGTATTTTTATCATATTTAACACTAAAGATCAAATTTCATGACTTGCAAGATCAATTCAGTTCTCCAAGTTTCATTTTCTTTTCATCAAATACTTTTTGAGACTGTTATATATGAGGCAGTGTTGGGATGAAATCCAGCAATAAGCATAAAAATACCTAGGAAGCTATTTCAACTATGTTTGAACTATCAGGAATTCTGAAAGACTTTAATGTTCAGGCTGGTAACCAGTGTGGCCGGCAAGCCACTGCTCTGTGGCCTTACCTGCCCGCCACAGGACGGTTCGCTGCTCATAATTAGAGTTGAAGGCCTTTGAGAACGAATGAGATTCCTGCAGGCAGTCCAGCAGCTTGAAGAGGTGCTGCGAAGACATGTATTTATACATGCCTTGGTCCTCCGTCTCGATGTGGATATCTGCGTCCAGTGTGTCTTGCTGCAGGATACAGAATAGACAGGAGTACTGAGAATGTGAGGGAGTGGTTTTTCGCATAGAAAATATAGACAAAGGCAATCCTGACTCTCCAAAGGTTGCTCTCTCTATAAAACACACTCCAGTGCCCTCACCCCTTTCCACATAGATGTTGTTCCGCTGGTGAAGATGCATCCTGAGCTGCTGTGTGACAGTAGCTTAGGCTGGCCAAAGTTTCAGTTTTGTCACTGCTGCCTTCATTGTGTAACCAATGCCTTCAAATATTTTACTACAGAATTTCATTCTTTTAATTAATTAATTAATTGAGGCAGGGTCTCACTATGTAGCCCAGGATAGCCTTCAACTCACAGTGATCCTCCTGCCTCAGCCTCCCAAGTGCTGGGATTGCAGGTGTGCACTACTACATCCAACAAGGATTCCAAGTCTGAACCCCACCTGGACAATTTAGTGACTCAGCAAGACCCTGCCTCAAAATAAAAAATAAAAAGATCTGGGAATGTATGTAGCTCAGTGTAAAGGTCCTGGATTCAACCCCTGGTATAAGAAAAACAAGTACAGAAGAAATGACCAATAAACACTAAAGATGCTCTGTATCGTTAGTCATTAGGAAATACACATCAAAGCCACAATGAGATACCCATTTCATATCTGCTAGCATGGTACAGCAGGAATTATAATAAAAAAGGCAACAACAACCACTAGTGAGGATGTGGAGAAACTGGGACCTATGGATAGGAGTGTCAAATGGTGCCACAGCTTTGGAAAGTGTTTCCCAAACTCTGGCCAATTTCTCAAAAAGGTAAACAGTTACCACATGACCAAGCAAGTCTATTCTGCAGATATATACAAGTGTCCACAAGAAAATTTGTGCACAAATATTCACTAACAGTATTACTTGTAACAGCAAAAAGAGGAAAACACCCAGCTTATAAGCAGATAAGCCCATGTGATATTTTACACAGTAGAGTGTTATTTAATCAGACACACAAAGAATGAAGTTCTGATACACAGTATGGCAGGAACAAATCCAGAAAACATTATGCTAAGCTAAAGAAGGCAGACACTAAAGTTCACATATTGCCTGATTCTGTTTAAAAGAGCCATACAGAACAGGTAAATCCACAGACACAGGAAGTAGATTAGTGGGTGCCAGGGCCTAGAGAAGTGGGTAAGGGGAGTCACTGCTAATGATCACAGAATTTCCTTTTTACAGTACTCAGAATTATTCTCCAGTCACACAGCAGCAATGTTTGTACTTTGTAAATATACTGACTGCGGAACTGCACACTTAAAAACAAAAAAGGGCAGCTTGGGTGGACAGGTGTAGCTTTTCAGCAGTAATTACTCCTGGATGGCAATGCAGTGCTGGATCTGGAAGGTAGCTAACTGCAGTCTCCACCCAGACCACGTCACTCACTCACAGGGTCTGTCAGCCCCAAGGCAGTAAAGTTTTTAATTTACAGTGTACGGTTACTGCCCAACTTCCAGATGCTCAATCTTGTCTGATTTAAGAATCCCCTGTACGCACACAGTTGCACATACAAAACGAATCCCCACAATAACACCTCTCCAGCGCCTAGGTACGGGGTGGCATCTGAGCACCTAGGATGCTGCTAAGCTGGCTTCTGGAAAATAAAAGGTTCCATTGTGGCCAGTTTCAAGTGAATAATGTGATATCCTTAATGTGGGGCTGGAAAGAGATGAGCATGATGGGCTCCAGGCAGCCCGCGGGAGCTTCCTGGCCACATCCCCATGGACAAAGCTGTCCCCCACTAGACCTCCCCAGGCCTGATGTTGTTACCTGGGCAGCAACCATGTGTTCTGCATCTTCCTTTTTGCTTGTGGCAGGGTAGAACACAATGTTGTCAATGGTTTGTATCAGTTCCAACTGGACCACACACTTGATGAGGAGGCTGGCAAACAGTTTCTGATCTATATTAGATGATAAAGATTAACCCTAATAATGATTCAGCCGATACTGAGTCAATGCTCACTGAGCTCCTACCCTGGTGTGACCCTTGATGTGGGAGCACAGCAATGAACAGACTGAGCAACACTCCCCTGCTCCCATGAACTGGCCAACAGTAGGCAAGATTTAAAGCATAAGGCCCAGTATGTCAAATTATGATGATGTAAGACAGACAGAGAAGTTTCAGGGTTGAGCTGCAAATTTAAGTGTGTTTCTAAAGATCCGATATCTGAGCAAAGGCCCAAAGGAGACAGAATTAGCTCTGCAGGTCTTGTGTCCTCCAGCAAGTATCTCTGTCACTCCATGGGCCACTCTTGTGGACCAGCTCTCGACTGTGCCCTAACCACAGATGGGTTCAGGTCCTTCCTGAGGAGGCTAGGATCTCCGTTTTCCATGGATGTGGGAATAGCTCTTTTAAGTTCTTCATTTTTGGATCACCGATCAACCACTTTTTGTCTAACCCAGAAGTAGGAACTGCTTTCTGCACTCTGTACTACTTTTTTTGTTCTGTTTCTTGAGACAGAGTCTCATTATGTACTTCAGGCTGGCCTTGAACCCAAGGCAATCCTCCTGCCTCAGCCTCCTCATTAACTGGGATTACAGGCATGTATCACCATGTCCCACTAACAATTCTTTCTACTGAATCTTCCCTGTTCAGATCAGCCATGCAGTTTCTGCCTGCTGACTAGATTCAGACTCTATCTATCTCTGTTCTCAATAGCTAGGGCACGAGTGTGAGCCATGGCAAGTACCTCACAAGTTTTGGTTATCAACTGACTATAAGAAGGTCAAATTATCTTTAAGTTTTTGAAGGTAGTGAAATTACATAAACATATATTCATGGGGCTGTAATTACTTGTTGGATCTTTCTTGCATATCTTTGTTTTCCTGAGAAGCCATTTTGAGGATGCCAACATGTATTGCAGCAGCCATTGATGACTTCCTACCAATCTGTCCATAACTATGTGATATTTGTATTGTTCCTATGCTATTTCATAAACGGATATATGTTGTTACTATGTGTTTTCAACAACAACCATTGAGAATAGCCAATGATTATTTGATTGATCACTCATGTATAGCTCTATTTGTTTTCCCTAGAGACCACTTTGGAGACTCCAAGCTGTAATACAACAACTCTGTCATTCAGTGAATTCCCCTATTGCTATGTGGTCCTTCTTTTATTCTTTAAAACAAAACAAAAACAAAAACAAAAACAAAAAACATATATTCATGCAAAATGTTTTAGCTTTTCAGGGGCTGGAGATGTAGCTCAGTGGTACAGTGCTTGTCTAACATGCACAAGATGCACAAGGCCCTGGCTTCAGTCCTTAGCCCAAAAAAAAAAAAAAAAAAGAGACAGAAGGGAGCCTTAACTTCTGAAAAATGCAGTGGAGTTGTAGCTGTTAAAAAGAAAGAAAAGGACACATTAATGGTGCAAAGTTTTGCCTGCCTGAGCTCATGCCCAGAAGGGAGGCTGAGCTGGGACAGTGAGGAACAAAATTCCCTGCCTCCTGCAGCAGAGGGATGGGCTTGAGTCCAGGCACCATGAGAATGGAGACAACTTGCTGCACCGGGCATGGTTCTACTGGAGGAAATGCAGCTTCCTCACCCTAACTACCTTATCTGGGGCTGAAGAGGAAACAGAGATGACCCTATCACCAGCCACTGGAGAGAACTGGCTGTGCCTTTTAAATGGTTTTTAAATGGCTTTTAAATGGCTTTCAAGGAGGCCTATTCTATTCCTTCTAAACACAACACTGACCACACGCTGCTTTTTCCATTGTGCTGCCTCAACCGTTGTTAATGCACACAGCTTGGTTGCTGAGGATAGTGTGGGACTGTGTGCAAACAATCGGGGCTCGAAACTTTAAAAAGAGCAGAGAACACTTCAAAAGTCCCGACTCCACCCTCTGCCAAAAGCATGTCTGGATCCCAACTCTATTACACACGTTGTACCACATGTCTATGCCCTGTTAGTTCAAATATAAAACTGAAATTTCTTACAGACTGCCATAAGGATTAAGTGTGATCCTATGCATGAAATACACTGCAGTGCCTGGCACATTACAACTGTTAAACCTGTTTTTTAAAATGAGAGACAGAGCCAGGTGTGGTGGCACACGCCTGTAATCCCAGCACTTGGGAGGCTGAGGCAGAAGGATCGCTGAGTTCAAGGCCAGCCTGGGCTACAAAATGAGCTCAAGGCCAACCTGAACTGCATAGTGAGACCGTGTCTCAAAAAGACAAAAAAAAAAAAAATAATTTGAAACTTTCTTATATCTAAAAAAGAATTTCTAATATGTAAGGGGTTCCTCCAAACCAGTAAGAAAAGGGTCAATAATCACTACAAATGAGCAAAGATTAGCAGTAGAGTTCACAGAAAACAGAAGTGTTCTTCAACAGAATTTCAATCATAATTAGAAACCTGCAAATTAGCACCCAGGAGGCTGAGTCAGGAAGGTAGCCATGAGTCTGAGGCCAGCCTGTGGCTACACAGTGAGTTCAAGGACAGTGAGACCCTGTCTCAAAAAAAAAAAAAAAAATTGCAAATTAAAATTATTTCAGAGACACCAAATTTCAACTAGGTGCTGCCAAAGATCATAGAAACAGGCACAACTGAATGGATAGGAATTTGAAAATATCTGTCAAATGGTGAATGTCCCTACTCATTGACCCTAACATTTGATTTCTAGGAATTTCCTAAGTAAACTAACCAATGACATGTATTGTTATGCAAAGCAGTACTGTTGCAATGGCAGAAAGCTGGTACCATAAATGAAACTGCACATGTGTGTATCTGCTGGCACATGGGTGACTCCAGGAAGGCACACAAGAAAGCAGCAACACTGCTGACAAAGGAAAGGCACAGGCAGAACGAGGCACAGTGGGGAAAGAAGGCTCCTCCTGCTCACCCCTTTGGTGCCTTCTCTGCATCTGACTCATGAAAATGTGTAACCTACTTGAAATAAATAACCAAATGAAAACAAATTGAATATAAAAGTAGCCTTACTTGCATATGGTCTACCCTTCCAGCTGTCATCGGTCGGGTTAGAGAGCTGGCTCTGGCCCCTCTCTGAGGCATTTTTATCTATGCTGCTTAGAGACTGGCGGTCCAGGTCCACATCCTAAGTGTAAACCAGAGAAAAACACAAAGCTCACTTCTCTTGATCCATAATTGGGCGCCTGGGCAGAGATGTGACTCTTTACCAGTGCTGGCTCAGCTTGAATTTCAGTGCCTTGTTCAGCTAAGTAAAATGGACTTCTCAAAGGCTATCCACATGGTATATGTGGGGGGATGATTTCAATTATGCCCTTCTCTCATTAAAATTTCACATTCTCCTATAAAAACTCAGCACATTTCTCTACACACTATAATGTAAGCAGGATTATAACAAAATTTTTATAGGGTTAAATTCAAAAGTAAATCAGGAGTGCTGGGCCTGGTGTTGCACGCCTGTAATTCTAGCTACTCAGGAGGCTGAGACAGAAAAGTTTGAGTTCAGCTTGGGCAACTTAGTGAGACCCTGTTTAAAAATAAAAATTAAAAAAGAGCTGGGGATGTAGCCCAGGGGTATAGTATCCTGGGTTCAACTGCCCGTTTAAAAAAAAAAAAGGAGTACAGTAGCTAGTTCTTTTTTGTTTTTAATTGACAAGGAGTTAAAAAACAGAAAATGTTTAAATAATGTGCTTTACTTTTAAGTTACTGTGTCCAAAATGTCTTTTAAAATCTACTAGTCTTAGAGTTATCTGGGAATACAAGTTCACAATTCAGCCCTGGCTCCCAGCTCCCTCCCTACTGCCCAGGGAAACAAGGTCGTCTCAAGTGGGATTGAATGTAGGTCTTTATGTGACCTTACACAAAAAATAAGAACAACCACTTCTGGTGGGGTGGACAGCACTGTTAACCAGGGAGGGCAGCAGGAAGGACAGCCGACAGTGAGGCACTATTTGTAACAGTGACATACTAGAACTGGCCTAAGACTCCATCCTAGGAAGAGTTAAAGAAATTGTAATAATTATACAGTCATTGAAAAGGCTTTTTACAATGAATATGAAAAATACAGAAAAAAATTCACAACGTTAATATGGCACGTGCCAAGTGGTCCCTCATTTCAATTGTGTGGGGTCTACCAGGTGTGCACAGACACCCAAAGAAAAAGCTGGAAATGCAAACTGCTTTTTACTGACTGAAGAGACTTCCTTAGATCTCACAACACTTTTTACTGACTTCCCATCAGAAAAGTACAAGCTGTACAGGATTACTGATCCTTTATTAGAATAATATGAAAAAATAACCAAAAAAAGAAAAAAAAAGCCCGAACAAAGAAACTCCCTACCAAATGTTTTTCTGACAAATCTTCCTCCATTCCCACAGGTCTCCACGTCAGCAAACTTAAGAGAAGAGAAGAAAAGGAAAATGATCAATATGAAAAGCAGCTCTGTGTTTTAAGACATCTACTCAGCACAAGAGATAAGCAATAACCACAGTATCAACACTTACACATGTGGGATGGTGGTTTTGAAAATATCCAACATACAGTTGCACGTTTCATCCCAGACATCGGGACTGAATTTCTCTCCATTGGATATTACTAAGTTTTCTAAGCAATTTGTACCTGATCGAGCCAACTGTTCATTATCTGCAAATTAATATAAGAATATTTGTCATTAAACCTGAACTACTGTTTGGATATCAACCAGGGCCCAGATGCTATTTATTATAGAATGGAGCCTGCAGCTGCAGGACTTAATAGACTTTTAATTAAGGAAGCAAGGCTACAGACAGCAGTAAGAGTTTTATGGGTTAAGTATTTATTAGCAGGTAAAATGATTTATCATAGTATTGCTAAGAATATAAGAGGTCCACATTTTGTTACTTTAATTAACTGGCTCATCTATGAGAAAAAGTAAAAAGAAGATAGAAAATGGTAGACCAGTGTTTCTAAAAATTTACTCATGTACCACATTTCCAATTTCTGCCATCCAGCATTAGCTGTCCCATCATTTATTTTAAATCTGAGTTACTTTTTTTTAAAAACATAACTGAATTCAGCTCTAAGACAAAATTCTATAGAATCCAGATCTGCTCCACTAGTTGCCTATCCCTCACCTAAAATAAACTCACAACTACTCTAGCAAAAAAAAAATGCCCATTGCTTGACTCCAAATGCACATTTTTAAAAATTCTATTACACAAAATTTCGAACATATAAAAGCAGATAGTATAAGGCACAAGGATACATCTTTAAAATACAAACACATTCTGTCTTAAAGAAGTACTTTATAAACTGAAAAGTGGTGTTGTTTTTATGTTCCAATAACGTTTATTGACTGATTGATTGATTGATTGAGACAGGGTCTTGGTATGTAGTTGAGGCTGTCCTTGAACTCACTATGTAGCCCAGGCTGGCCCTGAACTCACAGCAGTCCTCCTGCCTCAGCCTCATGAGTACTGGAATTATAGGCATGCATCACCATGCCTGGCTTTTTTTTTGCTTGTTTGTTTTTGTTTTTTTGAGATAGGGTTTTGCTATGTAGTCCAGGTGGGCCTTAAACTCACTATGTAGTCCAGGCTGGCCTTAAACTCACCATGTAGTCCAGGCTGGCATTAAACTCATGGCAATCCTCCTGCCTCAGTTTCCCAAGTGCTAGGATTAAAGGTGTGTGCTATTACACTGGGCTTTTATTTTTGTTTTCTGGATTTTTTTGTTTGTTTGTTTCTCTAATTAAATTTAAAAATGCACATTTTCACCATTTAAACTGTATAACATGGGCTGGGGATATAGTTCAGCAAAACAATGCCTACCTGCCAAGTGCAAGGTCCTGAGTTCAATCCCAGGACCCCCCTAAATAAATAGACTGCACAATGTAGTCTTTAGTTTACATCCATTTTTTTTATAGAAAAAATTAAACTCTTGTTAATACTATATAAGAAAAATGACGCTTAAAGACGTGAAGAATACCTTGCTTAACACACCACTGCAACTGTGCAAATACGTCAGAAAGCAGCACTTCATTCAGAGCTTCATAAAACTGGGTAAACACATCACAAATGGCATAAAGTGCATGATTGCAGGTTGTTGTCATCCACTCAGACTTCTGAAAAAAAAAAAAACAAAAAACAATAAGTCTTAAAAACCACTTTCTCTGCACACTACTGGCAACACTGCTTGCCAAGACAAATACAATTTGGCACTAAGTATCAATGGTCCACATCCACTGACTCAGTAACACTACTACCAGGAATCCATCCTAGAAAAATAAAGACTTCTGGGCAAAAGTTTATGAAAAAATGTTTACCACAATCACATTTGTATAGTGAAAACATAGATACAATGTAACCTCCAACAATGTGGGCATTAATGAAGTATATCCATGTGTTAAAATATTAGTCATTCAAAATTAACATGAAATTATGCTAAACAGCCACTTCAAAAATTTAAATATTAAAAATAATGCCATGAAATTACCAGAGAAATATATAGAGTTATTTATGAAGCCATGGAAATGAGAAGGGTTGCTAAGCATGATTCCAGATGTGTAAACTAGACAGGAAAAAATTGGTCGATTTGGTTACATAGAAGCTAAAATATTTCCTTTCTTTTTTTTTGTTTTTTTGTTTTGTACCAGGAATCAAACTCATTCAGGTGCTTCTGCTGCTGAGCTATATCACCAGCCCTAATATTTCCAAACTAAAAAATAAATAAAAATAACAAAGCAGAATCAATTGGAACTCTTACATGTATGGTATTCATACATTTAAAAATAAATCAAAAAAAAAAAAAATAGCATTGGGCTGGGGATTTAGCTCAGCGGCAGAGCACCTGCCTGGCAAGCGTGAGGTCGTAAGTTCGATTCCCGGTACCAGAAAAAATAAATAAATTTAAAAAAAAACTAAATCAATAGAAAAAAGGTAAATAACCTAATAGGCAAGAATATGACTCACAATTCATTAAGGGAAGCAACACAAATGATCAATGAGGGAAAGTTTGCAACCTTACTAACAACCAAGAAAACCTTTTAGTGTGATGTTTTTGGCCTGTCAAGTCAACAGTGATTGAACAAATTGAAATATACAAAGAGCTGGAGTGAGTATAGAGAAACAAAAACTCTTACGCTTTGCTGACAGAAGTGCAAAGGACTGGATTTATCTGCGAGGCAACTTAGAAGTCTGTATAAAAAAGTTCAGGAACAGGCAAGCCCAACCCGACAGTGAGGGCTACCTGGTTCTACGGCAAAAACAAGTGAAGAACACAAGGAAAAGTGTAGCTACAAAAAAAATGTTCACTTCAGTGCTATCTGAAGAAAGAAAAACCGAAACCATCTAAATGTCTGTAGACTCTGGAACACTCACAGTTTTGCAGTCATTAAAAACTGAAGAAAAGTTAGTTGTGCAAAAACACTTCTGTATTTTGTTTAAAAAGCAATGCACACAGGTATGCTGAATCCAGTTTTCTAAAAAGGCACACGGTACCTGAAGGAGTTAACAGTGGTTGCCTGTGGAAGACAGGACTGTGGGTATCTGAAATTTTCCTTTGCTTCTGCCTGTTTTCTGATTTTGCTATAATGAATGTGTATTCATTTATAAGGAAAAAAATTTATTTACTGCCACACTGGACACTTAACCCAAGATCTTTGCACTGGGCTACATCCTTATCCCGTTTTTTATTTCAAGACAGGGTCTCACTAAGTTGCCCCGACTGGCACAAACTTGTGATCCCCCTGCCTCAGCCTTCCAACCAATGTGCTATGATTAATGTGTGTACCACCATGCCCAGTGACAAACTATTTTAAGATTAGAAAACTCTGTACTATAATTTCAACCATATTTAAACCATGTAGAAGTTGGAAATTTGTGAAAATATTAGCTCTAGTTTTTGGACAGAAGAATTTTTCTGTATGTACTGGGGTATTTCTAAAAGCATGGTAAAAAAGTTACTCTCTGAGCTAAAAATCTTAAGAATGAATATTCTCTCCTCACCTTTTACCTGTAGGGGACAGATAACAAAAAGACCTTCAAATAGCAAATCCCCCCCTCCTCAAAAAAAGTTTCCCATGTGCAACAGCATATCTAGTTCTAACTTCAGTCCTTTGAGGGACCAGCGACTTCCCACTCTTTACTGATAATCTAGAAATCTACACAGCAGCAGCTAAGCTCCCCAGCCAGGAGCCTGCTGAGCTGGCAAGCAGTCAGGACCAAGTAGCAGACTACGTGACTTCCTTCTTTTCCCTCTTCGGCAGATGTGGAGTGCCTGAACTGGCCGACACTAGCACAGGAGGGCCAAGAAGAGTGTCTGCATTTTTAAAACACCTTCAGTAGCCTGAACTTCAGACATCTGGGTAGATGACAATGCAATCCCATAGAGGCCAGACAACCTTTGGCCCTTTCATGTCCATGTTGTCCATGTCACCTACCTCTGACTGTTGTTCAGGAAGCTTCATATTGTCAAAAATCCGAAACACGATTCTGAACAGGTCCTGCCACCAGTGCTTTTCAAAGGTGTGGCCGTAGCTCTTCATGATCTCAAACATGACCGTGAGTCCTCTAGTAAAAATGAGTCAGACACAGAAGAGAGAATGGGTTAGGGAGGGAATGGAGTTAGGGAGTAAGAGTCGAGGCGCATTTCAGTGATATTAAGAGGCTACCACACTGGAGACCTGGTTACCTTGTCCGCACATCTAACTTGCATCTGTTAATGATGCGAGAGAGCTCAAATAAGATGGGGAACCAGCCTCGTACCCAGACTCTGTCGCCAGGAGCTACATTCATATCATCACTTGTGTATTCTTGTAGCACCTACGAGAAAAGTCACAGCTTAGAGGAGAGAACTGCAAAGGAGCTATGCAAAGACTGAGGCCTCACCTGTTTTATTCTCCTCAATTCACCATTCGGCAGCTACAAGAGGAAATCCCACAGAGACAAGGAGAGATAATCACCTGTGCAAAAGGCCCTGGAGCAGCTTCCCCATATGAACCCATGCACCTTAGTGAGTGTAAGAGTACATTGAATGGGGTATATCACAAGAGTCCTGGGTTTGGGAGGTGTTACACTGAGGAGGTCAAATGATGTTAGTAAAATATCCAGGGTGATTCAATACCTAAGATTTTTCTGGAATGATACTGTAATGCGTAGTACTTAAAAGTAGTAACAGCAACTCCTATATACCGCCTGCTTTTGACTGACCAGGAACTGTACAAGTGCTTTATATGGATTAATAATTCTCACAACAACCCCAAGAGGAAGGCAGAGATAATGGTCCTATTGTATGAATGAGTTAACTGGGTCACTAAGAGGTTAACTAAACTGTTCAAGGTCACACAGTCAGATCCAGCAGACTTTCCACATTCTGGATATGAAACCCCACTCTGGCCTGCCTCTGAATTATGATCTCTCTGCTCTGTAACTGCTCTTGAAATGGAACTGGAATGCATTAGGCAATTTCTCTCTGTACTTCAGTTGACTTCCCTGTGGATGGGATATAATTACCCATCTCACAGGTTAGACGTGGGGCTAAATGAATCAGCACACAGGAAATACCCACAGTGGTGCCTGACAAGGACCAAGTACTCAGTCAGTATTGGTTCTCATTGTTATCAGAGCTTAATGAGCTCTTGTAGGGACCAGATGGATACAGCGTCGATTCTCTGTAGAGAATACTGAAGAAGTGTGTGTATGTCATCGTAATTTAGGCATATTTATTTCTGCCTAATTTCAGTGTTTTGGAACTGTTACTTAAGCTACGTAGCCCAGAAAGATGAGACAAACAGGAAAATCCCATTTTTCAGGAGAAAACAGGGTGATATTTTTGGTGGCTGTGGTTGCTAAGGATGAAACCGAAATCTTACACATGTTAAGCACATTCTCTACTACTAAGCTACACACTCAACCCTCAAAGGTGATTTTTAAATGTGCTTCTTAGGCATGTCACAAAGCCATACTGCTATTTCCTAAAAGGTAGGTTTGTTTTCTTTCAAAAGAAAGGCCTAGCTCCTTGAGCTCTGCCAAAATACAAAAGCTAAAATACTATTATCTCCTACAAGAAAATTTTTTAGAATGCTCTATAAAAGTTCAGTACAAATAAAATAAATAATTTCATATATACAAAATAACAAAACGGCGTAATCCTGAAACGGTAGCACTTGAAATAAACATCTGGTGTAGGGGAAAGACACATCTCTAAAGATGGGCTAAGAAGCTCTTTGCTAGGAGGAAAGGTTTTTGCCCCACAATCCTCTCCCCTCCACACCTATGTGCAAGGGGGCAAACTCACCCGAGGCCTCTCAGAGACGTATTTCCCACAGAAGCGGATGAGCCGGATGGCCTCCATACTGGTGTCAGGGAAAGCGGCATTACAGGCAAACTCTGACAAGCACCTCACAGCATCCTGAAAGGAATCGATGGCTGCAGGGAAATGGTGCTGGAAGATACTTGCTGGGAAAACACAAGGCACATTTTTTATAAGACAAGGATGTAGAAAGGAGGATTAAAAGATAGACACACATGATTACTTTGTGGAAATCTAAGAAAAGTGCATCAATTTTTTTTTTTTTTGATTTGGTCTTTTTGAGACAGGGTCTTGGTATGCAGTTCAGGCTGGCCTTGAGCTCATTTTATGGCCCAGGGTGGTCTTGAACTTGCAATGACCCTCTTGCCTCAGCCTTAAGAGTGCTGGGATTACAGGAGTGCGCCACCACGCCTGGCTGTAATGTCAATATTTTTGAAGACAGCTTTTCTTACTAAAATAATTTTCTTACTAAATTATTCAGGAATGAATGCACTGAGTACACCTTAGGCTAAACTGATCTCATGAACTCAAGCAGTGTTGTAAAGGCCCAAATATCCATTCATCCGTATTTCTTGAGCACCAGCCATGTGCAGAGGTGACCTAGGGCCCTGCAATTTCCCTGCAGATCAAGTGAGTATCCTATCACATGACCAAAGGCAGGACCAGGGGCTCCTGGTCAGTCCAGGGTGGAGGACACTGCACATACTCTGGGCTGCACTGCCCGGGTACAAATCCTGACTCCCCACTTTATAACTATGTGATTTAGGGCAAGTTGCTCTTTTCTGTGCATCAGTTTCCTCTTTGGTAAAATGGAACAATAGCAATGGTACAGGTTGTTCTTGTTACAAATTATGGGGTCTGTTTGTTTTTAGTAGTTATGTTCTTTACAGTTGCTGTGAACACTGAGTCAGAGAATATTAAACCTCTGCTCTTAGAGAAAATTATGAAGTTCTCATGAGCCTCTGGTCACATTTTCATCAACTGATCAGCATATAACCTTGTCAGAGGTGTGCTGCTCTCCGGAGGCACCGTATGTAATGGGTATTATTGATGCACTTACACTGAATTCACAGCCAACAGCACTACAACGTTTGCCTGAAGGAAGCTCGTCTCATGTGTCCTTTCCCCACAAGACACACTCCAACCTTTCAGTACTCAGAAGCACTGGCCGACACTCAAGCACTACTCTCAGAGGCCATTTTAAAAGGTGAAAGATTTATACGATCTGAAGAGAAACTAGAGTATCTTAGAGGCCATTTTAAAGAGTAAAATGAGCAACAAAAAACATAAAAAATATGGCACTCAAATGACTGCAGAAAGGACACTTGTCTGTGGCATGAAAGCTGAAATAAGGCAGAACATCCTCTTGTTTCACCTCAGTTAGGAATGTGTGATTTCATTTTTTTGCTGTTCTGTGTATGCATCATGTTAAGGTTTAGATCTAAAATGTCTCTCAAAACTCTCATGTAGCTGGGTGTGGTGACACACACCTGTAATCCCAGCACTAGGGAGGCTGAGGCACAAGGATCATTTCGAGTTTGAGACCTGTGCGGGCTACAAAGTGAGCTCAAGGTCAGCCTGAACTGCACAGTGAGACTGTCTCAAAAAGACAAAAAAACAAAAAAACCCTCATATATTCAGAAGTAGGGCTTTTGGAAGGTGATTAGACCACAGGGGTGAAACACTCATCAGTGGATTAATCCACTGATCATTCACAGCTGAATGTATTGTTAGGAAGCAAAGCCTGGTTGGAAAAGGTGGGTCTCTGGGGAGGTGACCTGAAAGGGTGTATTCTTGTCCCAGCTCTTCTCTCTGCTTCCTGGCTGCCATAGGGTGAGCAGCTACCCTCAACCATCCCCTTCCACCATGCTGTTTTTATCTTAGAGCCAGATAGCCATGGACTGAACCCATGGAAACTGTAAGCCAAATAAACCTCTCTTCCTTTAAGGTGAGGGTGTCAAGTACTTTGTTCCAACAATAAAAAGTGACTAATACAAACATGTTGGCAAATGACTATAAAAGCATATAAATAGTGAGTCTGGGGTTACATATATATTGTGGTGAGCTGGTGGATTCAGAAATATGGAACCTGCTAGTAATGAGGACTGACTGACTGTACCTCCTTCACAGTGCTGCAAAGAAGAATATATCCCAAGTGTGTAGAACATTACCTGTTACATCACAGCTCAACAGAACTAAAGCAAGAAAGTGCCTATAGATAGTAAAATAGACAACAAATAAGTGGTCACTTGCACAAAGGACAGAGGCACTTACTAACAATGTGGCCTGTGGTCTGGAAGGCCAGCTCCACAATGTTCCCATCATGATCAGAGGCTGCCTGGTGGAACACAGCAAAGATATTCTTCCAGCCTGAGCGGATGTTGGCTGCCTGGGAATTCACCATCTGAGCGATGCAGCGGATCACCATATCCCGAATGGTTGGAGATCTAAAGAGGAATAGGACAGCCATGTCATTTATACTTTGGGGAGAGGGGACAGAAATGAACACAGCTCATCTTTTAGAAGTAGCACCCCATGTTCTAAGTACACAGTGACCCATATTCATTCAGGCTCTATCCCTATTGTTATTTCCATTCTGAGCTCAGCATGATGTCTACAATTAGCGTTGCTATCCTAGAACCACAAAATAATAAACTCGAAGATGAAAAGCCAACCCCACGGCTGGCAGAGCAATAGGATGGAAAGGTCTACAAAAGGATGGAAAGGATGTCAAGGTCCACAATGGCAATGTGGGCTATGGAAAGGAAGTTGGGAATGCTAGTCTCTGACTTCTTTTAAGTAAACACTACACAGCATGGGAGTGAAGTCATTGTCGGATTTCTGGGAAGGGATATATGTACATGATAGATGCACTAATATCAACCAGATTATACATATATAATTTGAGATGCAATATCTTAAATTTAACTATTACCAAATAACAACTAAAGATCGAGAAATGGCCCGTTCTTTGAAAGAGCAGCAACATTAAACGAGGTATTGACTGAGTATCTTTAGCAGACTAGCATATATGTCTTGAAACCTATTAAGATATACACAATTATTGGGAACACCATTATTTCATAAATAGTGAGAAGCTGTACTACATAAACCTACTGCTTCTCTATTACTAGCTTTGAAAGTCACTACAGTGGACTTTAGATCATAGATTTTACCTTCCAGGAGTAAAGTGCACATCTGCATGCTGAACCGAGGGTAACTGATTATAGGAAAGGCCATTGAAAAGGTAAAAAGAAAGACAAAACAGAAATGAGCTGAAGGCCAAGAAGTAAATATGCCACCTGCAGATTCTGGAGGACTATTCACCTGGGTAACTTCAGTATCTGGTAAAACTGAATTTGTGGTAATCTCTCCATGCAGAAAGATACAACTTATGGCAAGCATTATTTCTATTTGTGTGTGTGTGTGTATGTGTGTGTGTTGCAAAGACTGAACACAAGGCCCCACACATCTATCACTGATCTACATCCCCAGGCCTTGAACTAGATGTATTTACTAAAGCAGTTTTGCCCAGTTGTTAAAGGTAATATAGAATGACAGCACATTTTGAAGAATACAGGAAAGGTGTAATAAATAGTAAGCATTTAATGCATTATAAACTATGGAACATTTTCAGCAGCTACACAATTTTTTTGGTCTTTTTATGAAACACAGTCTTGATATATAGTTCTACGTGGCTTTGAGCTCACTGTGTAGCCCAGGTTGGCCTCAAATGCTCAGTGATCCTCCTGCCGCAGCCTCCTGAGTACTTGAATTACAGGTGTGTATCACCACACCTGGCAAGCTACACAATATTTTATGTTGTTCTGTGTAACATTTACTTTAGCACTTGTATAGTTAAATGGTTTGTTTTTTTTAAAAACTACTTTGTGTCTCATAATGTCTTATTATATTCCTTTTTTCTCACTCTTTCCCTCCCTCCCTTCCTCTAGTTTTCCTTTTTTTTTTTTTTGGTTAAACATGGTACTGGGGATTGAGCCCAGGGCCTTCACACTAAGTTATATACCCAACCTTTTTCACTTTTTTAAAATTTTGAGACAGGATCTCACTATGTTGCTAAACTGCCCACCCTGGCGTGATAGTTGCCATCCTTCTGCCTCAGTCTCCCAGAATGCTGGGATTACAGCTGTACACCATCACACCCAGCTTTTATTATATTTCAAATTAACTCCTTCAGAGAGTTATGGAAATACAGAATTACTAAGTCAAAGGGCACAAAAATATTAAGGTTCTTGATGAATACTGCCAAAATGCTTTTGAAAATGTTCTAGCAAGTTATTCAATCAACAGTTGCTGGTAATGTGTTTTCAACTGACTGCCTCTGTGCAAATGCGGGGGCAGTCTCAGGACGGGCCGGAAGGCCTGGGGTCAGGACCCAAGTAGTTCTGTTGCCACGAAGCATGAGCACAGTGCTTAGCCACAGGAGGACTCGGTTTCCTGACACCCTCAGCATTGTTACCACAGGTAAGTGTGAGTTTCTGTACATCTACTAAAATCAGGGGTGATAACAGACCGTAGGTGGGCTGCATTTTGATTTTCTTAATCAGTGGTAAGGCAAGAACACAGACACCAAGAGAAAGAGACACATCAAGGACACTTTCCTACTGTCTGTCTGTTCACTACCACAACGGTCTCCTCTGGCTTAAGGCCTTCTAGCTTGTGGGCTTCACTTGCTTTGAAGATCTGTACTGTACATTTTAGGAGAGGAGGCAGACACAAAGAATTATATCCCCCAGAGCGATCCTGACACCTCTTCTTATGCTCCATGGCTAATTCACCAGTATATGGGGTTGGCTTTCCTCTAAAAGGAAGCAGAGTCCAATCCACCACTGTCCCTACTACAGGCCTGGTCCAAACTCGAGGTTACATGGCCTCCTACCTTACCTTGTTGCTTTTCATTTTCCACAGATAAATGTGGGGAGAGCCTTAAAAATATGACCGTTCACTTCACACCCTTCTGCCACAGGGGTTTTGCTCTGACTGGTCCCACAGTCCTTTTTTGAGCATTGAGTTTTTATTAGAAGTAGTATGTATGATAGGCTGAAAAAAAGACTCAGTGCTTTTTGAAGGAGATCAATTTTTTTTTTTTTTTTTGGTACTGGAAATCGAACTCAGGACCTCATGTTTGTCAGGCAAGTGCTGTGCCACTGAGCATTATATCCCCGGCCCTCAATTTCTGATTTAAAGAAAAAAAAAAGTCACAATGAGTCATATGCTGTGAAAAAAGGTTGGGGAATATAAAGATAAATATGTCCCAGTCAGTCTTTCATACCTGGGAATTAAAAATATTTTCTTCACAAATGATTCCAAATGGCAATGATTACAAATTACAAATGACAGAACTGGGAATTACAAATGTTTTCTTTTTTTTTTTTTTTTTTGTTTTTTCTCCGGTACCGGGAACTGAACTCACGACCTTGCGCTTGCCAGGCAGGCGCTTTTTGCCGCTGAGCTAAATCCCCAGCCCCTACAAATGTTTTCTTTATTGCTATGCTCTCTGCACTTAATAGTGGTATCTAGCAGACGGCAAGCCTCCATAAACACAGGCCAAGTCAGCAATTACGCCAGAGGGACCAGTGTCCTGACCTCCTTTGTCACCTCTGGGAGCAAAAGTGCTGGATCACATAGTTCTTGTCCTATCTGAGACTGCTTCAGCAGTGGCTCCTTCTGCACACTGCCTCAGCACTGCCCCAGTGTGGAGGTGTGACACCTTTATCAGTTGCTATGGTATCGACTCTCTTGGGAGGGCTGTGCACGGATCTTAGCGTCATTTACCTCAGAATGAGGTATGTAAATCACAATCTGTGCATTCCACTTGCTTCTACCAATAAGGGCAAAAAAAATCAACCATGTAGTCAGTGCTAAGAGGGAGTTTAGACCCCAAAACCTTAGGTGCCGGGGAATGTGACTGAAAGTTTTCCATGATGATGTACATTACCTGTTTTTCTTCATAATATGCTCAAAAGGCCTCAGAAAATCTTTCTGGAAACGGAAATTGGCTAATTCACCCTTCTCGAGAAACTTCATGGACAGCTGTCTCAGTGAGTCTACAGCAAAGATAGCCACGTCTTCATTGGGGTTGCAGCCAACCTGAGCGGAAATGAGGAGGGCGGAGGAACAGGTGCAGGGTTAGCATCTGGGGGTGCGGGGCTCAGACAGCAGAGACGACAACCTACTGCGAAACACACACCAGGAGAGCACTTGCAGGGAGAAAGACAATGCTGCTTCTTGGCTATGACCTGTCTAATTTTATTCAAGTGTAATGATCAGTACTGTACATTTAATTAACAGGACTTTCAAAATGTGCCAGTTTGTTTTTAAGAATTGCACAATACACATAATAGAAAATTTACCACCTTAAGAGTTTTTTTTTAGGGAGTGGTTTGCTAGGGCTCAAACTCAGGGCATCACTGAGCTATACTCATGTCCCCATCTTAATTTTTTTTGGTAAGGGGATACCAGGGATTGAACCTAGGGCCTTTGCATGTGGTTTTTAGTTTGAGACCAGGCTAGGTTCTCACTCGGTCACTAAACTGCCCAGACCAGGCTCAGACTTGTAATCCTCCTGCCTCAGCCTCCCAGAGTGCTGGAATTACAGGTGTGCACTACCATGCCTGGCTCATCCTAACCATTTGAAGTGTATTTCAACAGTACAGTCACATTACTGAATATACACTCTCTAGAACTCTTTTCAACTTACAAAACTGAAACTGTACCCATTTTACAACTCCCCAGATGTTATTTAATTATACCTAAGTATACACGAGGTGTCAAAAGATTTTATAGAATGTTTTTTCATACTTTCCTAATATCTGTTACTTAAAGTAAATGATTATTAAAGTGAATACCATCAGCCTTGAAAAATTCTGCAGAAATATCGAGGCTTTTCAATGTTCTTAAAAATTGCCCTTGCTTACAGTTTACCTATTTTGAAGGGCTGGAGTTACATGTATACATTTTGTTGGTGCTTTTCAGACTTTCCACCCAAGAAGAAAGCACAGTAAGGGAATGTTCCCGCCAGCCCTGCTGTAAAGGGATCTGGGGCATCTGGCTGCAACCTGGTCTGTAAGAAATTCTGCAGACATGTAGTCTGATTTGAAAAGCTGTCTTTTGTCTGATTTCTGTTTTTTTCAGTCCTGGGGATCAACCCCAAGCCTTACCCCGGCAAGAGCTCTACCACTGCAGCGCACCCCCAGCCCCATTTTTTTTACAATGCTGTTTCCTTAAGCAAAAGAGTATTTCCTTCCTAAAAATCTGGCCAAAACAGATACTTCGGGCAGACACCCTATGCTTACTGTCCAGGTCTGCTCACCCCCGGCCACAGAACCTGCTTCCTACCAAGGGGCCATTCACATAACTTTGCTAAGTTACAGCCGTTCTGAGAGCTAAGTTACAGCTGCACTCAGCCTTCATTTCTTCAGCCCACGAGATCCTCCTGTGCCCCTGCTCACAAGGGGATACGGAACATCTTTTCAATATGGTGGAAAGAACTAAGAGTCCCACAGTGAGCAACTTAGTTTTCCATGCCTGGGTGTGGAACAGCACCGATTAGATGGAGTGGGCATCTGTAACGAAGTTGACAGCCGTGAAATGTCTAATGGTTACCTGCCAGCCTATGTTCCAAACCTGCCCATAAGCGGCCCACAGATAACTGAGAAGTGCCCCACAAAGACTGTTCACAACAGAATTTCAGGTGGGAAAAGTGACTCGTACAAAACGATGTTCCCTCTGAAATGTAGACTCTGAAGAGCTGGGAAGTGTTTACAAAACACTTCTGGATGGTCATTTCTGGGAGAACAAAGGATTCTATAGCTGTGAGCCAAAACATCTTGTGAAGTAAATGAGCAATGTCTGTTGCAGCTTAGCTATCACAGTCTTGGATAAGAATACAGGGCAGAGTAATGGTAATGAGCTGCATTTGCTTTCTCAAGCAAGTTCACCTCAATTTCTTCAACTGGTCTACTAAGAATTTATTTACCCAGAACAGCAGGAAGATGGTGCTAATTTAGTTACTAGATAAAGGTGTAGATAAAACCTTTACCCTTTACTCAACGCATCATTCCTGTGCTTCTCTCCTCACTATGACTCAGGTAAAAGGTCACCTCTAGAGAGTCCCTCTCTGACCATGTCATCTCAAGAACTATATGGCACTGCTTGACCTTTCCCAACCAGTTAATGTATCACACAATGTGGACGAATTCCAGGCAGGTAGGGGCAGCATCCGTCCACCGCCCCCCATACAAGGCTCACAGACACTGTGCTAAACAGAGTGAGGGACATTAATTTGAGTTGATAAGAAAACAAAGAACTTCTACTAGCTGCTATATCAAGATAAAAAAATGCTACACTTGGTAACGCCTCCCCCCACTCCAGCCTCCTGTACTGGGAATTGAAACCAGAGCCTTGCATTGAGCTACTACATTCCAAGCTCTTTTTTAATTTTTAACTTTGGGACAGGGTTTTGATATGTTGTCCAGGTTAGGCTCAAACTTGGGATCCTTTTGCCTCAGCCTCCCAAAGTGTTGGGATTACAGCTGTGCTACCACACTCGGCTGACAGTGCTCACTTCAGTGGGGTGCGGGAGCAGGCCACCAGCTGCCTGTGTGAGCTGATGGTGCTAAACTCTTCCCCGCCTCACACTGAGTGACATTACACCGCCTCATGCTGCAGTGAATTGGCCACAGTGCGGTATCAGTACCACAGGTAAATGACAGGTATCACTTGCTAGCACCCCATCGATTGATCTATCTCCCAACAGAAAACTACTTTTTACAATTCTTGCGCATTCAATGTAGAGTCATTCTTTTACTAATACTATTTCCAAGCATCTGTGTTGTAACGCTTCATCTCTAGAACTGACAAATTTTTCTTAGGATCGTGAAATGTATTTGGCAAGAAAATAGTATTGTCAAGCTTGTATTTTCCTTAGGAAGCAAATCACATCACACACATCCTTCTGATTGCCCCCCCCAATTTTATTATAGTAAGATGTGTATCTGATTTTTTATTTCTGTATGCATATAATGAAACCTCCAGCAGACAGAAAGTTGTTCAGTATGGCTTATTCCTAACAGTTGTCAGCTTTAGAAGACAAAGTGTGTTTGGCTTGTTTCTGATTTAAAAACAAATGTTAGTGGTACACATCTGCAATCCCAGCACTCAGGAGGCTGAGGTAGGAAGATTTCCTTGAATTTGAGGCCAGCCTGGGGCTTCAAGCCAGCCTGAACTACATAGCAAGAACTGGTCTCAAAAAAACAAATAAAACAAAACAAAAAAAAACCCCTAAATGTTAATTTCCAACAAAGCTTTCAGAAGAGTAGCAATAACAGAATGATGCCGAATATAAGAAGTGGTGACATTTAGTATCAAAACTCTATGGAACATAACTTCATCTTAGGTCATTAAGGAGACATTTTATGATTTCAGAATGCCTCCAAGCAAGAATATGTTTGTCCACTAATTACACTGATCTTTTTGTTATTAGCCTATATCATGGATATGGGATATTAAAGTATTTTCAATACCACTGGATTTTTTATTCATTCTATATCAATTCTCTTAAACTTAAGCATAACATTACTCCTATTCAAGATGCCCTTGATTCTACAAGGAAAATGACTTAATGGCACCTAAAAACCAGAGTCAAGCCTCTGTTTTTTATTTTATGAAAAAATAAAACAAAATTTCATAACAAAATAATGAAAGAATAACAATAGCTAATATACTGTATATCATTATCTTCAAAGTAGTTAGTATATAAGACACAGATGAAAAAGATTTTTTCACCTGAGACAGGGACTCACTATGTAGTTCAGGCTGGCCTTGAATTCATTACGTAGCCCAGAATGGCCTTGAATTCACAGCAATCCTCGTGCCTCAGCCTCCTAAGTGCTGGGAGAGGTGTGTGCCAGCATGCCCAGCAAGATTCTTTTTTTTTTTTTTTTTTTTTTTTTGGGTACCAGTGCTTATGCCGCTGAGCTACATCCCCAGCCCCCCAGCAAGATTCTTACAAAGAAGAAATGAACAGATAATAAGATGGAACTTTCTTTTTAATAAACTAGTAGTATAAACAAAAAAGGATCAATTTTTTATTGAATTCAGCTGTATACTTTTTATACTGATGAAGTAGTTTTTGAGCTTGAAAATTTACCTTATTGAAGTGATCTCCAATCACATGCCATATTCGGGACCACTGCAATCGGATCCGATTCATGTTGTAGTATGATATTTCTACGATCTTCTGCAGGCTGAACATGCGAGGATGGTGGGGGGAAGCCAGTTCATCCATGGAAACAGCACACAGCCAGCGGACAAAGTCAACTACAGGCCAGACCCAACAACATGCATGGAGCCTAGTTAGTAACAGGCAGTAACAACATGAGGCTTCTGTAGTTGTCACAGGCAAGTCAAATACATACCTATTGCATTTCCATCCAGTCTGGTAGAGCCAGTAAAAATCCTAGGAGGACAATTACAGACATAAAAAAGTAAACATTAGATTTGGAAGAAGTTTCTCAAACAGAGCAGGCAGAGAAGAAATGCTTCAGGTCTGGTACTTCCACCAAAATAAATGATAAGGCATCAAAAGTAAAAAAATGGCCAGTGGGCTGACAGCAGAAAAGTCTACACTGAGAGAAGAAAGGGCCTGGGAAGGAGTCGAAATGTAATAGCATGTGACGTGATGTCAAGAGATTGGCGGAGGGAAAACCTTCAAAAAGCTGCTCCTCTGTAAGAGCAATGAGAACACTGACAAAAAATTACCAAAACCAACTTTTCCAAAGTTGAATTCTTGAAACGAACCAAAAGCTAACAAAGCCCTAAGGAGTATACTTTTTAAGAAGAATGGCTGAATCTGAACAGCAAATGCTGTGGCTTTTCAACCTGGCCTATTTCTACTGCCCTCTCCACAACTCTACAGGAAGCCTCTTAAAAAGCATGCATCAAAGATAGGGTGCCTTGCCTATGTCTTGTATTCTGAGTAACTACTTTTTTTTTTTTTTTTTTT